CATCCTCCTATTTTATGCTTCTGAAAATTTCTTTCTATATACCTCTTTTTTTTTTCTTCCAATTTTGGAAATTAATATAAATTGGAAGGGAAGAACATGAAGTTTTTGCATTTGGTTTGTTTATTAGCATATAATACTCTCAATTATTGATTAAAATTGATTGAAAATCATAAAATTTATGTAACTTTCACTCTTAAATTAATATTTTAGCTTTTAATAAATTTGAATCAATGATCAAGAATGTATTAAATAATGTGTTACTAACAATCTTGTATTAACATGTCTACTAATAAGAACAACTTCCAAAAATACAAGAATGTGCTTTGAGTCAATAATTTTTTTTATTAACTATAAATCTGCGCTTTATTATTTCATAAAGTGTAGTCTTTATTAAAGATCTGGTTTTAGTATATCTTTATTGGGTGTACTCAGGGATGCTGATTGGTTATTGTTACAAAATTTAATGGAAAAGCTTCAACTTTATTGATAAATAAAAATGGGCCTAAGCCCATACAAAAAAAATTACATTTAAACAGGGAATAGAATCGCCCAAAACATAAGTTTTTTGCACTTTTATTTAAAAAAATTTCTTAAACAAAAGTGTAAAAATGCACTAAACTACATGCAGCAGTTATTGTAAAATATAATTACTACAAAAAATCTTAACCTGTAAGATGCGACAATTCTTTAATTATTATTATTATTATTTTATTTTTTACCGTCTCTATTGTAAGATATATTGAACTTGGGATTTTGAATCACCATACTTGAATTTAAATTTATTTATTTCAAAATATTGATATCAATCTTTAGAATTAATTTTGAAGTTATTAAAAATGATCAAACTTTATTGCAAAAATTACAAGAGCCTTTAACACCACCTTCTTAGTAGATTCATTGAATGACAGTACGTACAAAGGAATTAATACAATTTCATTCCTATATTTTAAAAGTTTAGTTCTCCCTTTATATAATTTTAAAAAAGTTAGTTTTAATCCTCATTACCAGTAATATACTAAATAATGTTCAACATCTATTCTAAAAAAAGTTTTTATTTTCTTTTATATTAGATGAAGAAAACTCTAACTTAATTCTCATTTTTTAGTTTTGATAAAAAATTTTAAAATATAATACATTAATACTAATTTTAACGACATCCTATTACGTTTCCTTTTCAATTATAAATAATATTTATGTAAAATCATTATAAAAAATAACAAATTTTTCTTTGTCAAAAAGTAAATTTAAACTATTACTGTCAGAGAATTGAAAGATGTTCAATCAACAACTTTAAAGAAATGTGTATAGTATACAGAATATAGATAAATATTAAATAATGCACTTATAAATATTTAAATTTAATATAAACAATGGTAACATATTATAATTTAATTTAAAAGTTAAATTGTAATCAACATATCTTTTTCAAAGCGATGTAACGTGTGCACTGAAAAAGATAATTACAATAATTAATTATAAAATTAATAGAAAATATTATAATAAAATATGTACAGAAAAACAATGTAATCAAATAAATTTTCAATTAATAACTAAAAATATAAATTATCTTTTAAAATCCAACTTTCTTACTATTTTGGAAAAGTCAAATAAGTAATCAACGTATCAGTCAACGTTTGGATTTCTCTCAGGGAAAAGTTTTTATATGTAATTTGCAACTTAGAGGGACTGTGATTTACTCTCTCACTCTGAAATCATTGGGTGTTGAAAGATAGACGATTGTACAGACACATTAACAGTATATCAACAGAGCCATTCATTTGCGACTTTGACTATGGCATCATCATCATCTTTCCACATTTAATGTTTGTGCAGAGCCATTCATTGCTTATCAGCAAAACTAAATGAAACTTGAGAGAGTTAGTAGACCAGTACAGAAACTTTACACGTACTACTCAAATTCAAGGTGTTTTCAGATAATTAACTTTTCGGTGTATAAATATGTATATAATAAAAAAGTTGCTTTTGTTACTTTTTATATACACTTATTAAACTCCGAAAATAAAATTAAAAATATATTTTCTCAAAAATTTAAAAAATTAAACTCTTCTTTTGAACTGTTTCGCAATATACCAAGAGAAAATTCCTAACTTGTTTGATAAATTTCAAGTCATAATCTCTCATTTATCTGATAATATATTTAATTCAAGTGGGACACCTCATGTTATATCTTACTCTTAATTAAAATTTATGCAAATTTCATCAACAAACGAAGAGTGAGAGAGTATTTAATGGATTCCCTGTAAACTTTAACTAATAACAAAGAGAGTATTTAATTAAAATTTATGCAAAATTATGAAGATTTTGTCTGCAATGTGCCTGGGTGGAGAGATTATACTTGATGCATGCATTGTCTAGAACACCAATAATTCATAAAATATTGATTTTTTTAAGACACTTGTAACTAAAACTAATATTATTTGTGTTGTGGATATACTTTAACTGGACATGTTTGATAGAGATTCAATTTGACACATATGGTAAAGAATGATTGCTGTAAGCACAAAAGCTGTGAAGTCTCATTTTGTGGTGCGTTATCTGAAAATTGATATTCATTACCTACCACTTGACTATGCACTCATTAGACACTGCTCTGACCACAAAATATAGTGTGGGTCATTGGGTCAGTGTTAATGTTTTATGATATCAATAAAAAATCAGTCACCATGAGATAATGTTTGAGCAACAAAGCGTTGCAAAAATTTCTAATTTTATGAATACATAATATAATCTCAATTATGGATTAATGTGAAAAGTTGCAATTCATGTGACTCTTTAATCTCACTCTAAGCAAAACCATCCAAATGTAAAGTTTATGTTAATTGTGAAAAAAAGGGGAAAAAAGAAAAGAAAAGAAAACAACTTTATACCATTTTATCTCAACCATCCAAAATTTGTGTTTATAACAAAAAAAAAAAAATGAAAGCTAAGGAAAGATATTCATGTTGATAAAAAAAATAGCTAATTTTTTTAGAGTATAAATAATTGACAGATTATAATTTTAAAAATCTTTAATACATCTCTAATATGAATTTAATTAAAAATTTATTTATTACCCTCTCTAGTCTTTTTAGTAAAAAATAACAATGAATTTATAAAAATTAATAAAAATAATTATGTATTCTAAATTTATAATGCATTTTAAAAATATTTATAATAAAAAATGGTCAAATTAATAAATTGTATATTAAATAAACAAATAAATTTACTTATATGGATAACGAGTTAATATATTATTAAAATAAATAAAAATATGAAAATATAATAAATAATACATATAAAAATAGGATTTTATTTCTTATAATTATATAAAAAATAATACTAAATATTTCTTATAAAAAAATTAAAAGAAACAGTTTCTCAATCAACATCTTAAGGTACTACTAAACCTCTTCTTTAACAAAGGCTCGCAATTTTTTTAATATCAAATTTAATTCGTCTTGAAGTAGAGGCTAAAAAAAGTGAATATTTATACTGATTAATAAAAAAAAAAGTACATACATTTATTACAATGTAAATAAATTATATTTTTTTTTTCAAAAAAATCTTTCGATGTAAACGAGATACAAATTAAGCATAGTGAACAAGTCAAACCAATTTTCTTTTTCTTCTAGAAAACTTTTGACCTTTCTCTTACTGTATTGCCCTTTTTCTTGCCAGCTATGTACTTGTACACAACCTTTTTATACGAGTTATGTTATTTTATTTTTATTTTTATATTACATATTTATATTTGTTTATATTTTTATTTTTATATTATCTCCTTAATATTAAAACAAGATTATCGTTCTAATAAGAGTGTATATCAGATTATTTTAATAATGGTTGCTGTAAAGTGGTTCCTACTTCACTGATTTTCTCTGTTTCAAAGCTGTCAAAGGCTCTAATCTGTCTGGATTAGGGATTATTAAGTATGAAGATTGTGTTCATCAACTCTCCCTTGAGTCAACTAAGCCAAAGCTTGTTGCATTGGTATTATGAATCTTGTTAGTAAATGTATTAAAATATTGTTTACATAGTATTATTCATTTTTTTTAGTTATCTACAAAGAAAATATTTTTTTTCTTTTTTATTAAATAGTTCCTTTTTTTAGTAGTTATTTTTTTTCTGAATCGGTATTTTATTAAAAGTACTTGTTCATAACTATTATTCATTAATTTATTAGTGCATAGGTAAATTTATTTATATTGATAAATTAAATATTTATTTAATCAACTCATTAAAAAATAAATATAGTTTTAAAAAGAATTAACCATCGTCCAAATACATTAATATATTTTATTTATAATAACTAATTATACTTAAAGAAAAAAATGATGTTAAAAAAATGGCTTAGCGATAAAATGAAACACGCTTTCTTTGTTTTTTCATGTTATTAAGTTTTGTTAATAATTGGATGAATGCTCGAAGAAGAAGGTGGAGGATTTTGATTCATTTAATTAGAAAAACTGTATTGTTGTAAAAAAAATTTTAAAGACCGAAATTGCATGTCTATGTTGCATGAGTATACAAATATGGGTATTGAATATGATAATTTTTAAAAATTAAAGGCATGGATATGGTAATATAATTTTTAAATAACACAAATAAATAATATAAATATTAATACATTAATGTAAAAAATATATTATAAAAGAATTTAACAAACTCATATTACTCATTTCGTTAATAAGAATGGATAAATTTGATTAAATAAATATAAGTATAAGAAAATTGAGAAAAAGTGAAATAATTTATAACTTTAATAGAAAAATTATTATTTTTTAAGAAGAAAAATGGTTTAACTAATACTTAAGATATAATTAGCTATATCTTAAATTATATTTAGTCTCATTAAAGTTATATTTATCTTACATACAATTATTTAAAAAATAATAATTTTGATAAGTACCTAGGTGCATCTAGGTGGCACCAATACTCAATACATAGGGGTACAATTGATGAAATGAAGTACCCTTGCTTCACAATCGAATAGAAACCATAATAAAAGCAATAAGTATTTCTGAAAACATATCAGCAGGTTTCAATATAATTGAGAATATTATATAAAAGGCTCCTAATCCATATAACAACACTTTTTTTTTTTTGGCTAAAAAATACACTACTTCATAGATTCTATCTATTATTATACATTCATACATTAACTCTTAGCGTAGCCGTTAAACACCAACAATGGGTGTTTCATATTGTTTAGGTACTTCATTGAGTTCAAGGTTACTGCTCCCAGTTTCTTTATACTTATACCATCTTGAACACATTAGAAAGTACCCCAAATTCAAGACCTCCAGTGCAGCAATCATGTAATAAAAGAAATCCAATCTTCCCTTATTTAGGTCTTCTGGTAACCAATTACCTGTAGCAGATTTGGCTGTGACTTTGTGGACAATTGAAATAAGAAAAGTACTCAAATAACTAGACCCTGCCATGCCACAATAGAAAAGTGACCCTGCAATGCTTCTCATGTTCTCAGGGAATTGTTTATAGTATAGTTCAACTTGTCCAACTGCAGTAAATGTTTCAGCTAGTCCAGCAAGTGTTAACTGAGGAATTAACCATAGTGCTGACATTGATGAAATGGCACCTTTTCTTGGTAGCACTCCTATAGGCTTAGTCAGAGCCAAATTTCTTCTATGGTCTTCAACCCCAGCAGCTACTAACATGCAAAGTGCAGAGAGAAAAAGGCCAATTGCCATCCTCTGAAGGATTGTGATGCCACCTTCTTTTCCAGTGAGTCTACGGAGAAAAGGGACAACCATTCTATCATAGATGGGTAGCCACAAGGTCATGCTCAACATCATGAAGACATTGTAGGATGCACCGGGGATCTTGAAGTTGTTGTTGTGTCCAAGTCTCCTATCGGATTGAAGGGCTTGAAACACAAGGACAGTGTGCATTTGGACAATAACTACATGGTAAAAAATGGCTGAAAACCATATAGGTAATACTCTCACCACACATTTCACCTCTTCCACTTGCTGAATGCTGCAAAGGTTCCATGGATCAGCTGCAGATCCATCTGCTTCTATTTTATCTTTTGAAGTCTTAATTGCTGCTTTGTCCAATAATCTGATGTAATATTCATTTCGGTCAGTAACCACAGAGTCCGTTTGGTTTCAGAAAATGTTTTCTATTTTTATTTTGTATTCTCATAAATAATCACAAAAATGCCACCTTATTTTCATTTTTCAAAGATTTGTACAGAAAATAAAGTAAGAACAATGAGATAGTTTTGTAGTTATTTATGAAAACAACGTGTTCACAAACCAAAGAGGCCCTTACTACTATTCAAAAACCAATTATCTACTGAGAAATAGCTGAAGAGTTAAAAACTTGATGGATTACCTGAATTGGTACGTGTAAGGAAGCTTAGAGTTAATACCCTTCGGAGGCACATAATTGAAGAGGGAAAGCATAGGATGTTCTGCAGGTAGTGTTAGACTCCTTTTCTTGGTTGCAACCACAAGAACTTGCACAATACTAGTTAAGGGACTACCACTTGGTTTAACTTTGACATACATTTTAGCACCCACGAAGTACACCACACATGATATCAACATCAAAGCAGCAGGAATTCCCAACCCTATTGCCCAGCTCACATTTGACTGTATATAAACAATTAGTGTCAAAGAAACCATCTGGGCAAAAGTGAAGGTAAAAAAGTACCAATTGAAGAAGCTGTTTATTCCCTTCTTCCCTGAATCTGTGTTGGGATTGAACTGATCAGCTCCAAAAGCCAAGTTACATGGTCTCACCCCTGCAGCACCTACCAAAAGCAAACCAAATCCAGCAAGTAGAAAAGCCATTTGCCCTGCCGTTGGCCCTTTACATATTTTGCTTTCGCTTCCACAGTGAGGTGGGTGCAGATTCTTAAAAACCGCTGTAAGTTGTATAACAAGCAATCCCTGTTTGGATGCAGTGGAATAATTACAAGGCTTATATATGTATGACACTATGACTTGGCTCAAGGCTGAATTCAGCTCAAGAATGTCTATATATATACATCAATTATATGCAATTTGATAATAAAGTTTTTTTTTTTATCATATGTTTTGTTGGATAATATGAGATATTTGGTGATGAAATTGTGTGAAGAGTAAGGTGATGGCATGAGGGTTAAACTTCATCAATACCAGAAAGGAAGTGGATGTGCAGAATCCTAAAGTCTTGTAGCGACCAAAATAGGTGTCGGAGAAGAAGGCACCTAGTATGGTGGCAAAGTTGGTGCTGCCACTGAAGATGTTTATCATGTTTGTGGCTGTGATGTTCTTGAGGTTAAATACAGTTGTAAGATAGACCAAGAGGTTTGCTAAGGTCCCAATGGCTCCCAATTTCTCAAATGTTTCATTTCCTGCCAGTTAGATTTTACACACACACACAAGACAAGTCACCAAAAGTTTAAGGATAAAACTGAAACACACACACACAGATAGATAGAACATTGGGATGCAGTACGTAGAAGCTTCTCATTCCTTACCTATGATGAAGGGCATGGCCTTCCAGCCTCTGTAGTTAATCTTAGGATCATCATCTGTCATGTGTTTCTCATTATTCTCCATAATGTTTTTCTCATCATCAATTGTCTTCATACTTGTTCTCTCTCCCTCATTTTCACCCATTTATTCACAATTATATGTATTTTTTCTCTGTTAGTCCCTCGCCTGAAAGAGGAAGAAATGTGGTTATGGAGTTGGGTAGGTGAAAGTTGAACTAGACAATAGAACCATAGTAGCAGGGTGAATATATAATAAGAGGCAGAGAGTGGAATTTCACTTCCATTTTCCGTTGAAACGTGAGATTTCAGTGTACATACGTAAAGAAAAATGTCTTTTGTATCATTAATGTATTTTGGATGAGAGTTGAAACAGAGGAATGAAAATATAAAGGAAAAAAGTAGATGGATTAAAACAGTAGAGATGAAGTAGAAAAGACATATTATTTAGATGAATAAAAATAAGAATAAACAAATTTTAAAAAATTAGAAGAAAGTATAAAAATAAATAAATTATATTAAAATAATTTATAATAATTATAAAAATATTTTTTTATTATAATATTTTTATTAATAAAAAAATATTTTTTATATTAAATAAAATTTATTTATAAATAAACAAATCTCATTTCGTGCCTTAAGTGAGAAGCAATGCAACTTAGTGAATTTCATAGAAATGGTTGAACTTTAATAATTTATTTCAGCATAAACAAACCGTTAAAATGCAATAAAATTAGTCATTTCATCCTCTTCATTTCATGATAACAAATAAAGCAATAAAATTTTAATTTTTTTTTACATTTAAGATATATTCTTTAGATATATTTATATAAAAATAATAAAAAATGAAAGATAAAAATATGGTGTTAAATTTTAATACCAAAATGGATGTATAAAAATAACGTTGACTGCAATTAAATATTAAATGTTATATTCATCACATCTAACATACTATAATTATTTTAAATTAGATTTTTTTACTAATAAATAAATATAATTTATTAAACTTAATAAAAAAATTAAATGTCATAAATTTATATTATAAAATACTTATACTATTAATAGTCAAAGTAGTGATTTATATATATATATATATATATATATATATATATAATAAATGAATATAACCATTTATATAAATAATGAATGAGTGTTTTATTAACATAAATATTACAATAAAAAAAGGTATAACCAAATTAATAATTATTATATAACAATTTATATATAATAATTATTTTTGTATGAATTATATTTATATAAATAAATATTGGGAAGTTAATTTTTTATTTTATTTTATTAATTTTTTAAAATTATATTTATTAAAATTTAAAATTATATATTTAAAATTATTTATTTTGATATTATTAAAATTAAAATATTTATTATTTAATTATAAAGTTCATTTGAAAGAGATTATAAAAGTAGTTTATGTCTTCCATACATTTTTTTAAAATCATTTCAACATATTTTTTTAATATATTTCACATTAGCAAATGAAATTAATTAAAGAACTAAAAATGTTTTATAATATAATCTCATGATTACACATTTTTATGAAAAGAGGAAATAAGAACATATAAAATAAATGATAACAAACATGAGAAGATTTATATATATATATATATAACATTTCAGGATTTCTTTCCTTGAAAGCTTAGGCACTCACCTCAATACCCCTCTTTCTCCTCTTTCCCTGCGTCGGCATATAGCATATCACGACACACGCTGGTTAATCCCAAGTTTAAAAAAATAATAACGTTAATAACCCATTTTTTAATATATTTATTAAATTTTATCTATATTTATTTTAAAATTTTTAATAAATTTTAATTAATAATAAAAGTGTATTACTAAAAAGAACAAAAGAGTACGTGTGGTCCTTTGCAATAGAGATTTTCAGCTTTTTGCTATTTGGTGCCGACTCTGCTATCGTACGCTCTCACTCATATATCGCAACACATGGGGCGGTGTGGCTCGGTGCTACCTCCTCCGCTTTTAATTTTATTATGTGTTACATTATTAAATAAGCACTAAATATATAAAAATATTTACATCCAGATAATATATCATATAGAATATGAATCATTTTGTATAGATATAAATTAAAGAAAGTGTTAATAATATATTTTTAATATATTCTTTGTTATTAACTAAAATTTATTAAAAATAATAGATATTAATTTCATTCTTAATTTAATAAAATTATTTATATTTTTAATAAATTTTAAATGATAATTAAGAATATGTTAGAATAAAGTATGTTGTTGATATTTTTCACTTAAAAATGTATTGTATCATTTATAATTTTGTAAAAAAAATATTATTTATTTATTTAAACATTTCTCATAAATTTTATTGGTTAAATTATCTGTGTTAAAGCTTATAAAATTAAAATAATAATAATAATATTGAATAATTCTTATTTTTTAAAATCATAAATGTATTTTATAATATTAATACCCATGTATATCAATAAAGTGATAAATAAATAAATTAAATTAAAATAAAAACGTATAAATATTATATGTATGATGTAAATTCATAAATATAAATTTAATAAAATAATATAAAAGATGATTGAATGTTGCAATAATGCTTTTGACTTGCACTATGCGCGTGCAGTGATTTTTATTAATACAATTATTAAATCATAATGTATTTTTTGTATAATAATTTATAGTAACAATAAGACTGTAATTAAAGAGTTTTTATTTTTCTGTTAATTTTATATATTTTAATGAGATATTAAATGATTGTGGACTAATTTAAGATTTCATAGGTATGATATTTATATGATATGAACTTTTAATATAATAAAAAATTATAGAAAGCTAATAAATGTTATGAGTGAGTTTGAATCAAAGTTATTAAAGTAAGCAAGCCTAATCAAACTAACTTTATATTAAGCTTACTAAACTATAAAATTTAAATTTTAGACTCAAACCTTTTTCTGACTACTCATCTAAGATATTTTTTTAATCGAAGTTGAATTCACTCAATTTATTTCAATGTAAAATATATATTCGTAATAAGACTTGAGTTCTATTAGCAACTTAAATCAAATTGGATTAACTTGAATTAGACTAATTAAATAGATTATTTTGACATTTTTACTTACTAAAATAACTTACAAAGATTGGACAATGATGTTCAAAAGTTCATGATCGAATCTCCATGGACCATCACACATCTCCAAAATGAGCCATATGTGCTCTTTGTGTGTCTATGTTTCAACTACACCAGTGTTGTGCATGGATATCCCTTGTGCCCTAGTTATCCCTTCCCCATGGATATCACACACCACTCTCTTTTCCTCGCCATTATGTTAGCCTTAATTACCATAATATCAGCCACGCATTTGTCATGTCAACATTTATTGTTGATCATTGATCAATGTTAATGGTTGACTTTGATTATTGAACAAATTAACTTAACCTTTGCTTTGACTTAATTTAATCATTGACTAATGTTTGTCGTTAACTTTGTTCATTTACATTGACTTTGATTAATATTTTTTAAGATTTTTGGCTTTCTTAATGTGATTTATTTTCTTTTACTCTTATTAGAACTTCTAGTAAGGATTTTTAGGCCTCTTCTTACTCGTTAATTTTTTGAATTTTCATATTAAGTGCCCAGTATTCTATTCTCAACCCAATCCATTGCCATGGACAATCTCAACAAGATGGTTGACTACTTTGGAATAGCTGATTTGCAAGACGGCCCTTTGTTAGGCTAAATGCACACCAGTAATAATTACAATACGGAGAGTAATAAAGAAACCTTAAATGATTCAAGAACTAATCATGATGCAACTTCAAGCTATGTGTAATATGATCTTACAAGGGTTAGTGATCATCAAATTATTAATCGTCACCATTGTAATGAATTAACTTAATCATGATTTAAAACCTCCAAGTAAGTCAAATTACATATTCCAACCTTTAATTTTCACTTAGATCTTGAGATTTTTCACACATATATTTGCATTAGAAAATTTGCTCAATGTCATATACGTGGATCATAAAACATGACTTTCATCAATTTACTAATGTTTGGTTTGAATTATAAGAGATTACTTACACCATCTCAATTCAATCCACTTGGATCATTATCATTGAGACTTGATTATATTTTTATTTACATTTTATCCTTTTAGAATCTATATTTATATTTTAAAATTTGTTGTTCAATACTTCTATACGTAGACCTTCATTATAAATCTTAAACAGTTTTTTACTTTGTATAGTAATAATTTCTAAATATTTAAACACAACGACAATTTCTATTTAAAACTAATTAAGATTAATTTCCGTACTTGTACCTAATTAAAGGGGTATTTCCCTTTAATTTGAATTACTACAATTTATATTCACATAAACTATTTCCTTGTCACATACATACTCCAACACTTAGTTATATAATCCATGTACTCAACAATAATTAGTTATCTTATTAACATATTTTGGGGTTTAATTATTTTAAATTAATTATTTTTTAAAATAAACAGAACGTGCTCTTAGTGTCAGTAAATCTCATATGAACTGTCTTATCTAAATTGTGAAAAATTTATTATTAAAATTTTCATTTTAAAATATTTATTTGATTATCACTTTAAATAAAAAAAATGTCCAAAAATTGCATTAAAAATAATTTATTTATCGATAACAGCATAATTTTGTCATGTAAAAAATAAATAGGGGTGTGTGTTAAAATTTGCATCAGTTTCAAACCTGACTTGTCTGCCAACCTGACGAGTCATTGACTCATATAGAAAATTAAAAAGCTTATAGTTCATTTTATTGAATTAAAATTATAAGTTAGTACAATTAATTAGAATATTCAATGGAATGTGTGTTTGCTGGATAATTGATGAATTATTCAAATATTGATAGTTAACATTTGATTTTTGAAAGAATTAGAAGAAAAATGACAATTAGAATTGAAGAGAAAAATTTAATTACTGCAAGATACATTTGTGGATACATGAATTTTTTATTGTGGGGACACAATACTGACAAAGCATGTAAAAACAAAATTTTCTAAAAAAAAGACAACATCTTTTATTACATTTCAGAGATGTCGAATTTTAGGTTTTTGTATAATTTTAAGTAGGAATGTCAGCTAGGATATTTTTTTTCCTTCTTTTCTATGAAATTTTGATGAGAAGTTGAGTTACATCCCTTCTTTTTGTTGAATATTATTTCTTTTTTTGCAATATATTTCATTT